ACTGATCGAGATTAAATGTTCATACATGTATCAAAATAAAACACCACAAGAAGCATGTCTTGATCACCATTATCATGTATATTTAGATGAAAACAACTTAGTTAAACTAAAAGATAGTTCATCATGGTATATTCAGATCCAAGGTCAAATGGGTGTTTGTAAAAAACAATGGTGTGACTTCATTTTGTATACAAAAAGAGGTACTGCTGTTGACAGAATATATTTTGACTCTGAACTGTATGAAAAAATTGTCAAGACATCAAAAAGATTCTATGAAAAGTACATTGTAAAGGCACTAACTAACAAAAAATAAATGATGACAAAAAACAGTTTGATTATTTTATTTTTTCACAAGTGGTGTCTGTAAATTACAAAGAAAAGCACACACTTTCAGGATCTGATTTGACAATGGCTTCAATGACAAAGGCATGGTATAACTTAAGATATTAAAATTTTTCAATCTTTCTATCGCACGTTCAACATGAATTCTAAGACGAGCAATATATCTAGTCTTAATAATATCATTCTGCAGCAATCTTTTTCCTTTACCCCAGTTACATTTCTTGGTGAAAGGTGGAATTACAAGCTTTGCATGTCTTTCTAACAATAAATCTCTAATTAAAAAGCCTCTGTCAGCCATAATTTCATGACCTGGTCTTATATAATCAAGAAAACCACAGTTCTTAGTAATATATCTGTCAGATGTATTACCTCCCCATAAATCTGATATAAAAATGATGGCAACAGATGGCATAATACCTATTAAAGCTTTGTATGTATTATGATGCTTATAAGTACTTTAAGTTCTGGACTGTGCAGAAGGAGATCTGGGCTTTTGTATAAAAAATTCAGTACAATCAATAATACAAACTGTATTGGGAAATGTAAGTTTAAAGGACTTAGGTAAAAACTTCTTGATAACAGATGTAGATGGCCAAACTAATAAAGGTGTTAAAATATGATACATAAAATTTACCCATGTTGTGAAAATCTGAGATACACGTGTATTTGAAACTCCAAAAATATCAGCCAAAAAAAATGTAAAAATAGCAAGCCGTAAACGAATAAGAGTCATAATAAATTCTTCATATTTCGACAGTTTTCTTGTCGGTCCAGTTTTCCTCCTATCCGCATTCTGCTGGTATTGAGTTTCCTCAGCACTGCTTTGTCCACTCCAATATTTAATGTTGGGGGATGCTTCATCTAACACTTCTACAATACATAAAAAAATACTACATTTGATCATCCATAATAATTTATTGTATGAGCATGTTAATTATTATGAACATGCATTCTTTTTATGAGGAGCAAAGCATTTTAAGGTAATTCTTCTTATTGCATGCACCGTACAAGTACCCTTGTCCTGTCCATTATTTTCAAAATTCTTATTATTCACAGTGGTTGGTATAAAAATATCTTTTTACACTGTGATTTTTGGACAAATTTTATTTCATTCAGTATCATTAAAATACTTGAATTTTCATGCAAATACATAACTGGCTAAACAATTTACCATACAATCCACGTAGCATTGACTTTGATGGAATACCAGTGTACTGCTTTACACTCCTATCAGTTGCTGTGACCTTTTCAATGATGAGGTTTCTCATGAGAGCATCAGGATTTTCAAACTTCTTCTTTAGAGCCATGAGTTTTATCCCATTTCCACCATCCCTATATCTGTCTGTATTCCACTGTCAACTGTATCTGGTCCATGGCTTTCACCTACAGCTGCAGATGCATACTCATGGTCAGGCTGGCATGGTTGCACAACTGAAAGAATGAGATGATAAAAGTATTATCTTAAAAATGTGTCACTGTGTATTATATAATTTAACTATTATTAAAATATTAACATATGAAGAGAAATGTTTTAACTATTCATCAAGTAAAAATCTGCCTTAATGTCTTCACAATAACACTTCACCAGTAAATATTTCCTGATACTATTATAATACATTATATTATTTTTAAAATTTAAAACCTGTGTTCAGTGTTTCACACGCAGAAGCCACTGTCTCTTCAGACACAACAGGGGGTGTTTGAAAATCCACACATTCCATTTCCATATAACACTGACTATGGCTCTATATAGGAAATTTAATATTACATTTAGTTTCATGTACTTAAGCTATACACTGAAAAATATATTACCAGTAGTATTGTGTACTATCATCATTAAATAAACATGTAAGAAACATTCATGAAAAAATAAATAGTACTTTAAACATTTCTGTGACTGAAATTTACAGTCAAATTTCATACATGGGTAAAATCTGAAAATTCAAATATGTACATGTATTCACTGAAAAAGCAACTGAAAAATATAATCGGCACTATGAATTATAGTGTCAGTTTGAAAAGCAGAAACAAACATTTTTTCCACAGGCTTTATAGATATATATTTATATACACAGTGTTAAACTTACATCATTGTAGGACTGAAAATCAGCTGCCTCTTCATTCGACTCCATCAAGTGTGAATTTTCAAGGAAATGGATGAAACAAAAATATATGTTATTTTCATACTGCAACATTATTGAAAGTCTATACATCTACAAAGGACATTCTGCTAGTCAGATTGCTGAGTTAAAAATACTCTTTACAAGTATCAAAAAGAGCAGTGTTTATTAGGCTTAGGATAGCTAAATTGAAACAGTATATTGTAGACTAGGGAATTTCTAATAAATGTACTATCCTATCAGAGATGACAATATAGTTAAACAAGCCCTGTCAAGGGATTTTACTTAAGTGTCGCCTACTTTAAATGTAAGGTGACAACGAAACACCAAGGTTTACATAAAGAATAAACACAATTTTATTCTCTTTAGTTTAGAGAGGTGGACAAGCTTTCGCCTACATCCATGGATGTATGCAAAAGCCTGTCCACTTCTCTAAAGAGAATGAAGTATATACAACACATAGAACAGAAAAACGTGGTGAATATATACATAGGTTGACTGGTAGGACTCGACTAGCTGATGTGGAAAGCATGCAGGCACACATGGTGCAAGGTCATAGTGAATAAATTAACAAATGCATTTAACTACAATACTCTTATTACAGGGCTTGAAACAAACTAGTCTATCAAGTATCATTTCAAAAATAAATATCAGGAGGGGGCATTTTTATGTGTATTATTAATTACTCATACACACCTCGTTACGTTTCTCTGCCGCTGAACGTTTGGTGATGGATGTTGAGCTTCTGTTCTGTAGAGGCTCCTTGTAATTATTGTAAGCAAATAACGTGGGATATGGGTTTTCAGGTGTTGGACTGCCATCAACAAAATGTCGGGAACATATCTAAACATTGAAAAAAAGAAACCCTTTGTACTGAGACACGAAAATTTTGCAAAAAGTGCAAAATAAATTAGTCTTTAAGAATTATTCCACTTTACCCTGTGATGCATAGGTGGGTCGTAATCATGGTAATCTTTCCGCCGCAGCAAACTCAGCCACGCTCGCCTACATTTTGGGTCCTTTTTCTGTGTTGGGAAAGGGAAGAATTTAACTTCTGTCATATACCCATATCTTCCCCTTTTCTTTGTGTCAGCGTGACAGCCCTCGGTAGCACAGTAATACCGAGTTTTGCTAGTGCTACTCGCCATATCGTCTGCACCGGAAGTATCGAGGGCTTAAAAAAGTTGCGAATCACGTGACCGCAGTGTGTAAAATCAAGAATAAAACGTTGTTCCGGCAGTAACTCGGCTTCCTTTGAAAAGTTTTGACTAATTTGCTGATTTTGGATTCATTGATTAATTCTATTGTTAAAGATACGCAATAATATTTTTTTCTGTAACATTCTTGTCCTATTCCGGCTGTAAATATTAAACGGGATTCGAACGAAACATATCAGGAAGGAGTTATATTACTTGTACTATTTGAATAATTAACAAACACTTAATAACTATTTGACCAAATATCAAATAACATTGAAAGAACAGGAAACGCTCATCAATCTAAGGAAAATTCTCAAAATCAAAAGTGTCGCAGATTTCTGATAAAAATTTCTCTGTAGTTTGTCATCGTCGTTAACTTTGCACATTTGACACAGGTAGATCGATTCGGCCAACAAGCAGCCTTGTATTCAAATTTGTTCAGTTTAAGAGCTATGCATTTTACCGAAGGAAAGAATTAAACTTGCTAAAATTTGATGGCATCTTTTACGACATCATTATTCATATAAAATCCTCCAATTAGTCAGAGGTGCAACTTGACATAGAATCATATTAGACCATATCAGCATAGCCGTTGAGACTAAGCTGAATGAATCTTCTTCTAGGTAGGGAGGGATGGGGTAACTGAAATAAGTATTTATAATTTACTGGAATGAAATACATTTCTTCAAAGTAATTGAAAGTAGTTTGATTTCAATAACAAGCGACTGAAGTTATTTAAATTCGACTACATTCCAAAAAATGTCATGTATTTTTCAAATACATTTCAAATACTTTATTTTTCTAGTAAAATATTTTTTAAAAATGTTTTATTATAATGCAGTATAATAATAATGCTGCTGCTAATTATGTATATATATGTTTTTTTTTAAATAAACCTAAAGTAATTAGTATGTATTTAATGACATTCTTCAAAAAAATTTAAAGTTATTAGCTTTTTTTCAAGTAATTAATAATATTCTCGATTACTTGCAATTATAATAACATTGATTTAAACAAATGTGCTTAATCACATTTTCAAGTAACTGACCCCAAGTATAGTAAAATGATAAATAACTTTGTGGGTGTTTTGCTTCCTTTAACACTTTTAAATTTGTCACAAACACTTCATGAAAATTTTAATTTCCGCTTGATTAATTAAACTAAGACATGTTGTACAATGACAATGATAATGATTTTAATATCTTAAATGTACAAACATACATTGTAGAGAGGAGGTAGGAAAAGATACAAACACAGAAAAAGAATTCAAAGTAGACTTATTTATGTTCGCTGCATTTGGCTCCGTCTATTTTCGACCAGCTTTTGGTCTCAAGAAATAATTCTGAACATCAAATTGCACTGACGAACACCACGAGAGCGATTTCCTTTAATCGAGATTGTACCGTGACTTTATCCAAGAATTGCACAGTGATACTAGTAAATGGCATAAATGATGGCTACCAGAAGAAATAGAATCATAATGTTTGTGGCTCAGTCCATTTTTGTTCATGTAATCTGTAAGTATGTTGGACAATTATATATTTTATTCTCTTTTATCAAAACAGTGAAATATTCACAAATTCTATATGAAACAAAGAGCATTATGGAAAGTAACAATCCATGAAAAATTGTTTTCTCTATCACAAGGTTTTGATGATATTCAATTACTAGGTTTTACCCATTAGCAATGTGCGCGCGCCATCTTGTAGGGCAAGCGTTATCGAAGGGAAGAAAGTGGTCAGTGCGTGTAATCGGATTATAACTTCAGCTATGTTAACCACTTTTGCTGTTGTGGTTTGTACAAGGCATTCCAAGCCTGGAGATACCGTTATGGAGTCATGGATACTTTGATCAAACTCTTGGATGGATTCTCAAGGGATGTTCTTCACACTCTTTTGGCACGGGATGCTGTTATTTGGCCTATTCTTAAGACCTGTCACTGTTTTATGTTAGCCTGTTCACGAGTAACAGTTTCACAGGTTTGAGCTACATACGAAGTCACAGTCAATGTTTAAAACACTTCTTCACAGTGCTTCGCCACCTCCTCTTTTCACATTACTCCATATTCCCCTTTATGCAGTTTATTAAGAACCTTTGAGATGTCTCCATCAAAAGACGCAGACCTGTGAGTCCTGGCAAACTAATGCAACAGAGATAACAGAACAGGTTTGGTTCCTGTGCCTCTCAGATTCATGTCAAATTGCATTTAATCCTCAGCCTTTGATTCTTGCACAATGGGCAGTTGTTTTGTGGAGGCCCAGCTGGTGCAACTGGTAATTTTCGTTTTTGACTAGGTCTTTTTTTCTTTTTTGTCTTGGCAGAGGTCAAGTCAATGTCTTGAATTCTTTTGTATTTAAGGTTCAGAGAATTTGGAAACATTCAGTGCGTCTTTTACGGTTAGAGTTTTACTTTATCTAATTTTCACTGCAGGTTCTACAGCAAGTAGGAGAGCTGCGACATGTAAGCAAACCTCACCGATCCCTGTCATGCATGTGCATTGTGCTATAGTTGCATTCATTTTCTACATCAACCATGGTCTCAGATTTAAGTCAGGCATGCGTTGTGAATGCTTTCACTTTTCTAGAAGACCTAAAAGAGAATTAATTAGATACACCACAAAATATCGGAAAGTATTCATTTATTCACATAAAATCATAGAACGCACTGTTCTTTGACAAGACTCTCTTTTCAGTAGGCCTTTATAGATTTATTAAGCTGACACATGTCATATTACAGTAAAAAGTATGAAACTCCCACTATATAAAAGAAATACGGTGTTCACATTTTCACATATTTCTCCAATCAAAACAAAAACCAAATTAGGCCACAGTTGCACTTAGTTGGAAAGATTCGGTGTAAAATACTCATTAAAATTTATTCAGTGGTATAGAAAAAGTTATGGATAAAAGATGGGTAACCCAAGTTTTACGCACTAAAGGACATGCAGTTGGAAATCCCCATCATGTAATACATTTACCAAATATAAAATCTCTACTGACAGATAATTCAATTCCATTTTCATTTTAGGTTTTGTCACAGGGCAGCAAAACAACTGCAGGATTACAGAATTTATCGATAAATGTGGAAATGTTGGAAGTTTATTAAATTGCAGCGGTCTAAAGATCAACACATTTCCAAAAAGCTTCCCAACAGCCATCGGAAACCTTGCCATAGATCTATCTTATAACAACTTCAGTGTAATATCTACTGAAACTTTCATTGACGTACCGCAACATATCTCACTTAAAGTCAAATCTATCTCCTTACAGGGAAACAATTTAAAACTTATCAATAGTCGGGCCTTTTCACAATTTCAAAATCTGTGTGCACTGGATATAAGCAACTGTGGATTGAAGAAAACTTCCTTTGAGGAAGGCGCCTTTGCTGAATCTGAAAATATAAAATATTTAAATTTGAACAATAATAACTTTCAATTTGGCGGATATCCCGAAAAGGAAATAACTCGTTTGATTGCTTTACAGAGTCTCTTAATTGATGTATTTTCTGAATTTCAATTTAATAAGTCATTTACTAATTTAAAAAACTTGAGTGAAGTTGAATTTAACACAATAGGATCTTCTTTTCATTTAACAAATGTCACATTTCATGGACTCTCTGAATCGCCAATATACTACATAAACATGTCGTTTAGAAACTATGTATATTGCGACATAACTGAGGATTTATTTTGTTCATTTCCATTTTTAAAAGGAGTTAAAATGAACATTGCAGGGAAGTGTGATGTAGTCCCTGCTTTGCGAGCCTTAAAATGCCTTCAAAACAGATCATTAGAGTATCTTTATCTGCAGAACAACATAAAAACCTTCCCAGGCAGCAATATCATACTTTCTGAGTGGAATAGTGAATATTTATTTAACATTTGTGCAAAATCAGTTAACATTAGTCATAACGGAATAAAGAAGGTCTCCCCTGATCCTTACTATACTCGACTCGGCAAATGCATCGAAGGATTAGATGTATGGTATAACCATATAACTGCAATTGATGCTAAAATTGGTTTCCATTTATTAAGTAATTATCCAAAACTAGAAGCTATAAGAGCCCAAACAATCAATTCAAACCAGGCGCCATTTTCATTTTCTGAATTTTCATCTTTAGGCACTTCAAAGTTTACTTTAAGAATTTCAAACCGTTTGCGAGTCTTGGATTATTCAAATAATTACATTCACAGCGTGACTGATATGAAAACAGAGGTAACATTTATTGGAAGCAATCTGGAGCAACTCTATCTCAGAAATACAAACTTTCCTTGCAATGCTTTGACCCCCCTACATACCCCAAAATTAGAAATTATAGATATTACAGGTAATCGGTGCAACAAAATGCATAAGAAACTGTTCAAATTCGCAATTAACTTGAAATCTATAACAGCGTCAAATATTCAGCTTGAGATTGGAAAATATACTGAAGGCCAGTATTTATTCATCAACCTTTCAAAACTCAAATCGTTAGATTTAAGTATGAATTCTTTAAAATTCTTACCATCTTATCTATTCCGTGACCAAAGCAAATCGTTGCACACTATCAGTCTCGACAAAAATTTGTTCTCCTCCATTCCATTTACACTATCAATGTTAAGGAAGCTTTCAAATCTGTCACTTCGTTACAACAGGATATCGTCATTTCAATCATCGGATATTGCCATCATAAATCAGCTACAGAACGTAAAAATATTTATCGAAGGAAATCCAATTAGTTGTGCATGCTCAGAATTATTCTCGTTGAAGTGGATGAAAAAAAACCAAATGATCATTAAAGATCTGAAAATTACGAAGTGCATTGATAACAAACAAACTTTGTCAAGCCTTTTTCAGGATGCTACATTCAGAACTTTTGAACTAAATTGCCAATCCAAGGAATGGCTGATTTATACATCTTTCGTCCTTTTTTTCCTCATTATGATACTGATTTCAGCGGGTGCAGTGAAAAGATATCGGGTACACGTAGATTACGTCATCTTACAATTGCGTAACAGATGGAAAGGTGTCATGAGAAAGAGACCAAATAGTGTTTATGAGTTCGATGTGTTCTTGTCGCATTCTGAACACGACTATGAATGGGTGACTAATATATTGTACGAAAAATTAACGAGACAAGGAATTCGTGTTAGTTTACCAGAGAAAGATTTTATTCCGGGTCTTTCTAAAGCAAAGGAAATGCTAAGGTGCATTGACAACAGTCGAAAAGTAATGTTTGTTATTACTGAGGAGTTTTTGGAGAGTGGATGGGAGTCTTACGCGGTTCAAATGACAGTTACGCATGCTTTTCATAATCACAAAGAACAATCTATTGTCGTTTTAATGAAAGATGACATTTCTCCTGCGAAAATGCCAAAAGATTTAAGGTACATTTGGTGGTGTATAGAAGTTATAAAAATGACTGATTTTGACAGCAATTCGAACTGTTCCATTTGGGATCATATTTCTTCTCAAATTTGTCTTGTTAAAAATCTATACTTTTAAACATGAAAAGGTGAACTGGTAGTACATAAAGGCATGCCTTTAAAATTTAATTCCTCAGTGCAGTTGTTTGCAATTCACCTGTATGGAATTAAAGCTGAAAACACTTCTTGCTCTAATTTTTTTTCTGTTTTAGGTAGGAAAAAAGGTTAATACTTCTCAGCCTATTTCGCTTGTATTTTCCTATCGTTTTAAACTAATCAAATGTGACAAGGGGGGAATATATGGAATACATGTTTATGTAAGAGATTTGAATTTTAGTACCGTTACAGAACAGACTTTATCTCATTACTCAACGTCACCCCACTCTAGTGATTCTCTACCCCCAAGCCGTATGAACATTTTTAGCAACTTGCAATAAGCACATGTTTACAATGCACCCATTTTAACCCGTCATTCAGACTTTCTTCAAATTTGCGTCACTGATATCAGTTGTAAAAATGCCCGATTATAGCGTATTTAACCCTGAATTTAATTTGCTATATAATAGCCGTAATTCGTTCCCATAATCCAAAATACGAAAAAGAATTGGTTTACAATGTATCAGTATATGTATTCAAAAAATCCTTAAAATATACATGGTCTAGACTTTTTTCTATTCAAGCATGACTGCATAAAGTATTGAGGGAATTAAAAAATATATATTTTACCTTGGAGTAGAAAAGTTTTCTGATGAATAAAGATTCGACTATAAGTTCGTACAAATTTAATGACTGTATAGTATATTGAAATATCCCAAGCTCCTTGAAAACTTGCTTTAAAAGATGAAAATGTTGTTTTTTGTTTAGTTTTTTTTTGGTGACAATTGATTATTTATACAAACATACTAAAACCAATTTGTTATTTTAGCTTTCAATTTCAAAACACTGTTACCTACGTTTTCAATCTCCAAATACTTATAATGAAAAAAAGGAATAGGTTGATATATCAGTTTTAACCATACATGTAATTCGCTTTGTTGGTATTTCAAAATAAAATCAACCGATTCTGGGCAATTTTCTGATCTAAATATTTTCTGTTTACCTTCTTACTTGTTTACTTATCTATCCGACATTTCAGTCACAAACGAGCAACAATATGTACCATCACACACGTGGTACTGCGGCAACAGGCTATTATTCAGATTGCAGCAAAATGTTACAATTCTACAGACTAAGTAGTCAGTACGTTGGTGGCACTTTGACAACGATTATATGAAGTGATACTGTGTCGGCTATATAGGGAGCTTGGTGAACTTATAAGGAATGAACTACAATCCGACATAGATAGACTTTTTCTGTGTATCTTTATAAGGGAAAACTATCGATAAGATACGTTTCTTCGAGGAAGATGCAAAAAAAAGAGAAAAATCTTTTTTTTTTTTTTTAAATCTCGAGGAAATTGCAAATAACTACATGTAATTCTTTTTCGATTATCAATTTTGGTACATTTTTTATTTGAAAAGGAAATTGTCAATAATTATCAATTTAGGAAGAATTTTTGGTTGAAAAGGAAATTGTCTGTGGCCCGATTCTTGTTAACAAGAATATTCATATTGAAAATGTAAAAATTATTTAAAATCAATATGATTTTATCAAGAAAGGAGGAAATTAATAGAGATAGAATGAGAATTATTTAATTACATCTAATTATCATGTTTCCTGTCATATGTGTCCATGCGTTTCTCAAACTCAGTTAAAAAATCTTTATTTCCTGGCCTGAAGCTTAAAACACATACTTTAATGACAAAGCCTGTTAACAATGAGACTTAAAATGATGTTTTTGTAAAAACAAAGGATTTGACTATAAGAGAGAATGATTTTCCTTAAAAAGTCAATGTTCTGTAGATTGCATTCAAGAACATATCTGAGTTATAGTAATTTTTTTTCAGTGGGAGAGTTACTGACTACCCATAGTAGATACAGTTTATTCCTTGGAGAAAATGTATGCATTGTCGATATGTTAAACATGCAGAAGGAAGGTTTACACATTAGAAAAGAATGCTGTAAGGTCTGTTAAGATTTTATGGCAAATTGTCATCACCCATGCATCACGTACGGACCCTCATTCAAAGGATATGTCTATAAATAAATATATATATATATATATATATATATATATATATATATATATATATATATATATATATATATATATATATATATATATTTAAAAAGTATGGAAAATTATGTAAAAGTATTTCTTCCTCTTTTGTAATATTCTTAAAACGATAAAATATGTCTATAAAGTTAATCTGTCGGGAAATTAAGGGGAAGAGGGATATTTAACATATATTAACGAAAATCGGAAAGGCTTTTTCATGATTTATCATACATCAAAATGGAGGCACCAAACTTCGATGAGCATTTGATTTCGTGGATCGACTCAACAACGATATCCACGAGAATTGATGTTAAACGATTAATGATGAAACCACAAAAGAGAACATTTATTTTATTTCATTCGTATTAATTTATTTATTAGCCAACAAATTAAGAGGATTAAAACCCAATTGCTGACAAATATCCGTTAATCATGTTTTTTATTTTTTTTATTTTTTTTTATTTTTTAAAAACTTCCCTTTTAATGTCTAAATGCAGCGTGAGTACATTAATATATAAAGTGCACAGGTGGAATTTAACTTCATTATACAGAGCAAGTCCACGCTGATCTGAAGACTTGGAAAATGGCTATCAGCCCAAACATAATCATAATACTTGTGGCTCTGTCGATTTTTGTTCAAGCAATCTGTAAGTATGTTTGACAAAACCTTATTTTTTATTTTATCTCATACGTGTGAGTGATACAGGCCGTTGGATAAACTTATGCTTTATCAACAGGTAGATGCTTTATCAATAGCACTTCCGGTTTTGACACGATCCCTCGCTTCAAGATTTTCTCTTATTGAAACTTATTGAAAATTATTGCCCTTATAAAATGAATGATAGAGGGCGATAATATCATTAAAAGCAAAAAAAGACTCGTATATGTCAAATAACTGTCTTATTCGTCTTATTTTATCACGGAACCTGTATTGGCTACTTGAAGACAGATGTTACCCCCGCCCCCCCCCCCCTTTAAATCGTTTTCGGAGAAAGTAAAGACAAGCAGTTAAGTTGTTGTGATAAGATTCCTTTGTCATCTTCAATAATGCTTTCTTCTATAATACTACATATGCATACCTAGTACATGTAATGTAGATGTAACTTACCATGGATCAACAACAAGTAACCTTGCCTAGCACACTTTGTACTGCCACCGAACAAAGATTTCATTTTCAAGATCCCATGGTCCTTACAACTTTCAGTCAGAAGTTCCGTCCATGTAAAGCTCCAGCAATTGTCACATAATGTTTTCAAAGACGCAGGTAGGAAAAATTTTAACTTTTGAACACGATCTACTTTCTTTCGAGGCATGTAAACAATCAACGGTGCTACGTCATCAAGTTATACGTCATCAATTTGAATTGGCAATCATTCATGTAGTTTTGCAGGGGAAGTCTCAAAGTTTTGTTAAAACGAAAGTCGTATGAGATAACTGGAAATTCTATAATTGTGTGATTTGATATTGGCTTTATCCAACTCGTTGAAATGGTGTATATTCGCTCGGCAAGCCTCGCGAATATAATCACCATTTCAATTCGTTGGATAAAGCCAATATTAGATCACACAATATAGATATCCTCTATTTATCCGATCGGTGGAATATGTATATACAAATCCTAATGCTACAAAAGATGATTAAATATAGTTTGTAATATTCCATGTAAAAATAATTTCTCTACTATAATATATTATGGTATTACCAGCTGCAGATCTGTGGCGTTATGGTTTTATATATTAGTCTTTGACCATAACGCTACAGATCCCGTAATACAAATAGGTGCAATTTACGGCGCAATATTTTTTTGAGTACTTTTGGGGAGAATTTCTCAACTTTCAAGCATTGGTCAATCAGCTACCTTTCACTCCCTTAGAACATGCATATTTTAAGATATAATTAAAGTTCTTTGAGCAGTGAGTACTTAATATTACCCCCACACCACTCCCGTCAGAGTATAATAGCAAAGTGCCTCTTTTCCTTCGGAAAACCAATACAATCTGTCAGTTAAGAGGTACAAAAAGGCAGTATGTAAGAAAATCCGACCCAAGTTTACAAAACGTTAAAATAGTTCCGAGAAACATTGTGCATTTATTTACAAATGTAACTTTAATTTGTATTCATTTCTTGATTATTTGATTAATTGATTGAATGTTTTCAACGACCATGTCAAGAATTTTTCACTCATATTAAAACGCCACGACTTGCAGATCTAGAGCTATAAATTTTGTCTTTTACTTGGCACTTAGGGCCATTGAGCAACAAGGGATCTCTTTCGTGCTAGCACTACTGTGACACGGGATCTCAGTTTACACGGTCTCATCCGAAGAACCGGTTTCCACGTCCGGCAGTGGGATTTGAACCTGAATTATTTGCATACAAATGTTTGTAAACTAAAAATGATAAATTAAATCAATGCGAAAAAGATAATCACATTATAGGGCTTAAAATTGTAGGTAAGTTTATTAATTTGAGTACAGGTAGACATGTCAGCAGGTCGACAAGTAAGCGACGTAAGCCAATAAACACTTGTACAGGTCGACAGGTTTGTAGGTCAAAAGGTCAGCAATTAGATTTGTTACCGAATTAACATGTGTATATGTAGATGAAGAAATCTAACACGTGGGGCCATCAAGTTTAATTGAGTGTCGTTGTATACAATTTCTACATGTCGGCCTGCTGACCTGTCGACCTACTGACCTGTTGACCCGCTGATCTGTTTTTCCTTATTTATTGTTTGAATATGTATACCATGTCGATGTTATAAAAAAAATTATGCAACTGCAATAAATATTCTTAACTTTAATAGGATAGATTTAAAGACTGTTTACTCATTCTTCTAAAATTGAAAATCCACAGGAACTATTATAACGTTTGCTGCACCCTGTGAAGTTTCATTAAATTTTAAAATATTAGAGCTCCGATTATATAGAAAGAAAACAGACAGTCATATTTTGCTATTCCATGGTAACCCTACATATCTGTTCAACAGTGACTCTATGATGGAAAGATCCTGTGAGATTCAAATTAAAAAAATTATTCAGAGTTTTAAAAGTTGTTG